TCTACTTGCTGGATTTTGGTGTCTGTCCCTAATTTGCCATTCGCACGTTGGGCTGTTTCTTTTCTGACAACCAGGCATTCAGCCGTCCTGGGTATGACGATAAACTACATCCGCACCCTGGGTAAGACGAAAGACTATGTCCAACAGTAAGGCCTCTGATCAGGAGGTTTTGAGGATCGTGGTACCACCTCTTTATTACTGGTGTCCCCAGGTCCACCCTGACATGGCAGGGTAGCACCTGTTAGTGTCTCAGCTATGGGCAAATAGTTAACCCCCAGACTGGGGCCAAGCGCTATGAAAGTGTAAAAATAGGTTTTAATACCTGAAATACTTTGTAAAAAAATTATTAACAGCAATACATTTTGGAAAAAAAATATTACCAGTAATAAATTTTTGAAGGAAAAAAATATTACCAGCAATACATGTTTGAAAAAAAATATTACCAGCTATGCATTTTTGAAAAAAAAATATTACAGTGTAACCCGGATATAAGAGAAACCCGGATATAAGAGAGATTTTCTCTGGCCCCAAATTAGAGCCTGTGTTCATGTATATAAAATAGACCAAACCCGGATATAAGAGAAACCCGGATATAAGAGAGATTTTCTCTGGTCCCAAATTAGAGCCTGTGTTAATGTATATAAAATAGACCAAACCCGGATATAAGAGAAACCCGGATATAAAGAGACCAAAGCCTGTGTTCATGTATATAAAAAGACCAAAGAAACCCGGATATAAGAGAGATTTTCTCTGGTCCCAAATTAGAGCCTGTGTTAATGTATATAAATAGACCAAACCCGGATATAAGAAAACCCGGATATAAGAGATTTTCTCTGGTCCCAAATTAGAGCCTGTGTTAATGTATATAAAAAGAAACCGGATTTTCTCTGGTCCCAAATTAGAGCCTGTGTTAATGTATATAAAATAGACCAAACCGGATAGAAACCCGGATATAAGAGATTTTCTCTGGTCCCAAATTAGAGCCTGTGTTAATGTATATAAAATAGGACCAAACCCGGATATAAGAAACCCGGATATAAGAGATTTTTCTCTGGTCCCAAATTAGAGCCTGTGTTAATATATAAATAGACCAAACCCGGATATAAAGAAACCCGGATATAAGAGAGATTTTCTCTGGTCCCAAATTAGAGCCTGTGTTCATGTATATAAAATAGACCAAACCCGGATATAAGAGAAACCCGGATATAAGAGAGATTTTCTCTGGTCCCAAATTAGAGCCTGTGTTAATGTATATAAAATAGACCAAACCCGGATATAAGAGAAACCCGGATATAAGAGAGATTTCTCTGGTCCCAAATTAGAGCCTGTGTTCATGTATATAAAATAGACCAAACCCGGATATAAGAGAAACCCGGATATAGAGAGATTTTCTCTGGTCCCAAATTAGAGCCTGTGTTAATGTATATAAAATAGACCAAACCCGGATATAAGAGAAAAGCCTGTGTTCATGTATATAAAATAGACCAAACCCGGATATAGATTTTCTCTGGTCCCAAATTAAGCCTGTGTTAATGTATATAAAATAGACCAAACCCGGATATAAGAGAAACCCGGATATAAGAAAAGATTTTCTCTGGTCCCAAATTAGAGCCTGTGTTCATGTATATAAAATAGACCAAACCCGGATATAAGAGAAACCCGGATATAAGAGAGATTTTCTCTGGTCCCAAATTAGAGCCTGTGTTCATGTATATAAAATAGACCAAACCCGGATATAAGAGAAACCCGGATATAAGAGAGATTTTCTCTGGTCCCAAATTAGAGCCTGTGTTCATGTATATAAAATAGACCAAACCCGGATATAAGAGAAACCCGGATATAAGAGAGATTTTCTCTGGTCCCAAATTAGAGCCTGTGTTCATGTATATAAAATAGACCAAACCCGGATATAAGAGAAACCCGGATATAAGAGACTTCTCCGGTCCCGACAACTCTCTTACATCCGGGTTACACTGTACCAGCTATATATTTTTGAAAAAGATATTGCCAGAAATAGATTTTTGAAGGAAAAAATATTACCAGCATTAAATTTGAAAAAAGAATATTACCAGCAATAAAAATTTTGTCGGCATTAAATAACCCATTGAGGGTGATATACCGTAAAGCAAACCAAACCAAACCAAACCAAGACCAGGCATTCGGTCTTCTTACATTTGATGATTAGTCCTTTCTTCTCGCTTTCCTATACTACTTTCTGTAGGAGTTCCTGTAGTTTCTGTGTCTGCTATCATCTGAATATGTAAGGTAACAACATTACATATGCAGATGACACAGTGTTGACAGAAAGTAAAGTACAGAAACTCTTGATTGTGGCGGACTTTTAATTCTCTCAGAATTGCTTCACTGTAAAGGCTGAATAAATATGGTGCGACACATTCTTGCCTTATGTATCTCTATATTTTTTCTGAATTTATTTTCTATCCGTTTGAAGGCGATTTTCCCCCAGTACTAGATCTGGATAATTCTAATATCCTTCCCAAATAAGTAAAACAATTCCAACAGTTCTTTGTGACATACCCTTTTGCATAATCTCCGACACAAAATTAAAGCAAGGATTGAACTAACGTTTTTAATGAATGTTTTCCGCAAAGAACTTCACAACTTGCGCTACGACAGGCATCCGGTTTTTATTTTACGTACTCACAGAATACGTGTGGATTTTCAGCCGAATTTGTTCTCTTCGTTGCAGATATCAAAATCTAACTCTGTCCCTACCTCATGTATTACACTGTGGAGGTTTTATTCATGAGATGTGACGTCACGCCAGGCCGAAATCATTTCGAAACTACTTGCGTGCGCAATATCTCTATTCTGAATGCCCTCAAAATTTAAATTTCAATTTTCGAAGTGTTTCAATTGCAAATAACTAAGGATAGATTGTAGATATATTGGCATCATTATGACCCAACCGCTCTTAATGTAATACGAACGACAGATCTTGTGTCAATTGGTATGAGAGAAATGTTTTTAGGTTTGTTCGGTGCCAGAGGAGGACGACAATGAATTTAATATATATACTAAATATTACTTAGTCTTCTAGAAGGCTACAAAGAGTTGAAAATCCATTGAGAAACCAATTCATGACAATAGCGAATAATCCACAAGGCTAGTTACCTAGCCTCAATTCCCTAGAAAAAATCCTATACTTGCAAGATCAAGCTGAGGTGCGTGTTCAGGAGCGATGTTCAACAAGTCACTCTAGAAGTAGTTTGATCCCCACAAGGTGAGAAAATATTGAGGTTCTAAAGCTTAGTAAATATCCATTGGCTAACTAAAACGTTTGTTCGGTTTACAGGCAATGGTAATGATAATATTAAACCATTTTCTTATAGGGAAACAGTCGGCAAATTGAACAGCCAGTACTACCATCGACTGAAATTTTTTTAAACCTTTCTCTTAAAATAGTTTTTCAAAAAAATAGGTCTATCCATTAACTGTTATCACTCTTTCCTGTATTGATGGGGTTTCCTGTTTGACTTTTTGTTTGCAGTAGTGTAGCATGTCAGCATTTTGATGATGTCATTATTTTCCCTTCGAGTTACATGCGCTATTCATTTTAGTTGTTACTGTTGTTGAAAGTCCTCATTTGATGCGGTTATTTGGTACAGTTCTTTGTTTATGATTTTGCGGCACCAGTCCACGAGGTTCAAAGAAGCGTGGTCTTCGCTAAGGCCGACAGGTTTCAATAAGTAAAAATAAAAGACAATTTGAGAAAAAAATTCGGTATCAACATTATTGAACTTCAAGCATATTGACCATTCGTTTTACATTCTTCCATCTTTTAAGCAAATGTCTCCTTCCCACTGAGAATTTTTTTTTCTCAACAAAGAACAGTTCAACATTCCCTTTTGTAGTCTTTCAGGAAACTGAATTCTTTCCTTCTTTTTTGATACTAGAATGTTTCCAATAGAAATCTCGAGAACTACACAGTGTAGTGTTAAAATAGTTACGATAAATGTTATGATGAATGTTATGATGAATGTTATGATGAATGTTACGATGAATGTTATAATGAATGTTATGATGAATGTTATGATGAATGTTACGATGAATGTTATAATGAATGTTATGATGAATGTTATGATGAATGTTACGATGAATGTTATAATGAATGTTATGATGAATGTTATGATGAATGTTACGATGAATGTTTAATGAATGTTATGATGAATGTTATGATGAATGTTACGATGAATGTTATAATGAATGTTATGATGAATGTTATGATGAATGTTACGATGAATGTTATAATGAATGTTATGATGAATGTTATGATGAATGAACCGGGACCGGCATAATAGCCTTGATGTTTTTTTTTTTACCGGGACCAGCAAAATAGCCTTGATGTCTATTTTACCGGGACCGGCAAAATAGCCTATTCGTGTTAAATATAGTGTACTGAAAATTTTTCGGCCCAACATATTTTCCAAAATCTGAACAAATGTGTAAATATCAGAATGCTTTTTTATGTCTTTTTAGTGAAGCCAATAATTTTTAAGCGCCCCCACACGCATATTCACACATATTAAATTAGTCTGACACAAGGCCGTGAGTGATAAAATTAGAAGTAAGTATATTGTGTTACATTAGTCTTTCAAAGAGAAGTCTCTACTTGCCTCGAAAATCAGCATTCTGAGCTCAGTTTTTTACCTTAGTTCGAACACCGAAATCTTGCGCCGTTTGCAAACTTGCAAATAAGGCAACTTTCTAGTGCGATTACCTTCTCATTATCCACAAGCAAAATTAAACAAATTAATGCAATATTGCAATAAATATCCAACAGAGTTGCATTTAAAAGAATATTTAAGTAAAAAAAAAGAGGATATTTTTTATAAACTGGATTATCTTCTCGAAATTATACTCACTTTGGAAATCGCTAATCTAGGGTCATTGAGTTTGTCCAAGTCTATTTATTGAATACTGGGGAAGGTAAGAACGATGATGTGAAGGCTTCTATAAAACGCAAGCATCAATATTAATCAATTCAGTAGGCATGAATAGTGGGGGGTTGAAGAAGAATGATGGGAAAAATTAATTCTTAAGAAAGAAAGAAAGAAAGAAAAAAGACAGATAAGAAAGAAAGAGATGAAAAATAAAATAGAAACAAAGATAGAAAGAACTAAAAGACAGAAAAGAAAGAAAGAAATGAAAGATAAAAAACGAAGAAAGAAAGAAAGAAAGAAAGAAAGAAAGAAAGAAAGAAAGAAAGAAAGAAAGAAAAGATAGAAAAGTGGAGGGTAAGAAACGAAGAAAGAAAGAATGAAGTAAAAAACAGAAAAGATGGATAGAAAAGAAAGAAAGAAAGAAAGAAAGAAGTAAAAGACAGAAAAGATAGAAAGAAAAGAAAGAAAGAAAGAAAGAAAGAAAGAAAGAAAGAAAGAAAGAAAGAAGCAAAAGACAGAAAAGACAGAAAAGTGCAGGATAAAAAAACGAAGAAAGAAAGAATGAAGTAAAAGACAGAAAAGAAAGAAAGAAATGAAAGATAAAATAGAAAGAAAGAAAGAAAGAAGTAAAAACAGAAAAGGTGGAAAGAAAAGAAAAATAAAAAAAACGAAGAAAGAAAGAATGAATAAATGAATTAAAAGACAGAAAGGATATGAAAGATTTTTATCTTTTATTTCTTTCTTTCTTTTCCGTCTTTTACTTCATTCTTGAATAAAGAAAGAAAACTAGAAAGAAAGAAATTAAAACTAGAAAGAATTGAAAACTCGAAAGAAAGAAAGCAAGAATGAAAGAAATGAATGCAAGAAAGAAAGAAGGAAAACTGGAAAGAAAGAAAATGATTTAAGAGGGAGAGAGAGGGGGAGAATTATTAAGTAGTGTGTGGAGGCAGGATGTGACAAGGTACAAGAACGATATTCTCAGGCGTATTTTTTTTTTCGGAAATAGCTCGACTCTGATTCTGACTAGTGTGCAAGAAGAAGAAAAATAAGAGGAAGTAGCCGAGAAAAAATCTTGTTAGCACAACATGGCGTTGTCGACTTAAATTCCCATCTCCTCAGATGAATAATACCCAACAAATCGCCTCTGTTTAAACCAAGATAGAGACGCAAAAAGCAAGCCAAACTTTATGTTGAATCCCATCTTAATCCTTTATACTTCAGTTGATGTTCATCTTTTTGACAAAGCTAGGTTTTGTTGAGTGACTGCGGCACTCCCATTGGGCAGTCAAATAATGACAGAATGATTAGAGTTGTGGAAAGTAACTTCATAACTACGGCCATCTTTTCGTTCTTTAGGGTCCCCACTGCTTATACACACGATTTGTTTACTATGAAAGTACTAATCGATTTGTTTCGTTTTGTTTTTTACGGTTTATCAACCTTTTGCAGGTTAATTAACGACAGAAAATATTTTTTAGATTGTAAGAATTTTGGGGAGATAATGATGATTTACTGTTACATGGCCTACTAATTAAAGAGAAGAGGTTGATTCATACCTTTCCCAATGATATTTGGCCGTCATTGAATATAACGAACCCGGCCATTCGATTTCCAATTTTGAACCGTCATCCATTACACCCCGTATTCTCAAGCGGTCATTCATCTAGGTACTGACCAGGCCCAATGTTGTTTATTGTACGAGAACCGGTGTTTCGACATGATACGGGCGTAAGCTACCCCGTGCATTAGGAGGACTGTTGTACATCCATTCATTAGATATTCATTCATAGACGCAAGCATATCGATATTTAATAAGCTTAATATGGTACAATACCAAATATGGGTGGCTGGAAAATGATACTAGGAAGACTGTGTTGCGTCAGTCTTTCAAGTGGGTTGGGCCTGTTTCTATGAAGGTAACTTATACTCGTCATTTCATTGATTCGAACTTTCTATGAAATACATATCTGTGTAGATATGTGAGTGTATCTGTGAGCCTCTGTGTGTGTTCGTGTATGCGCACATTTATGTTTATGCGCGTTTATGGGTTGGGTGCGTGCATGAATGTGTGTGTGTGGTTATGTGTCGGCAGCGTGCATCTGTGGATATGCAGCGTTTATGCGTGGATATGCGTGTGCGCGTGCATCCATGTGTGTGCGTGTATGCGCGTTAATATGTGGGATGCGAGTATGTGTGTGTGAGTGAGTGTATGCGTGTGTGAGTTTATGTATGGTGTGCCTCTGTGTGAGTGTGTGCGCGGGTATATGTGTATATGCGTTTTATGTGTGTATGTGTGTGTATTTGCGTTTATATGTTTGGTGTGTGCATATGCGCGTACATGGATGCGTGCAGATGCGTGTGTTTGTATATGTGTGCGTGTGTGTTTTCCTATGTGCTTTTATGTGTAGGGTACGTCTATGTGTGTGTGTGTGTGTGTATGTGTGCACGTGTGTGCGTGAAGGTGTATGTGTGTGCGCTAATGTTTTGGGTCACGTTTATTTATGTGTGTGTGTGTGTGTGATCGTGTATATGTGTGCGGGTGTGTGTGTGTTTGGAATTAATTTTGAATAAACGATGCTGTATAAGAAATATTCTGAACTACGATCTTCTAGAAGAGGCCATAACCGATTCCAATCTTGTTGCAAAAATCTAATGGATTATTCCACAATGATCCTTAGAGATCAGCTCACCAGCTTATTTATTTATTTTATTTATTTATTTGAAATTTTCTGATGTTTTTCTCGTGACTGGTTGCCCTGGACGCTCATTATCTACACTACACTAAACCCACACTAGACCATCCTTGAAACGCACGAGCTACTCAAAAACCTGCTCTGGTCCTAAAGAAAGCTGAATTATTTCGTTACTCGAATTTACCAGCCACCACCAAGATTGCAGAGCCATTCCACTACAAACAGGCTGTCCTGTTATCTGGCTCATAGTTTGATAAAGAAATATTCATATCTTTTTCTAAGTACATTCGCCCTAATTAAAGAAAACAAACTCGGTTAGTATTTGAACTCCGCACGCCGATTTCATTATCCAAGCCGATAAAAGTTCTTCACAAGCTGGTTGAGAGCTAGAAAGCCAATATTCTGTGGTTCTTCGATAGAAAAAATCGACAAGGTGAACAGAAGAAATGATAAGTGACTGTGGAATTCTCGGCAGTATACTTAGTCTTTGATGGATCAAGGGCGGCAACAATTATCATGCCACCCGATTTCCACCCGCGGAGTTTCGGGGTCAATACTACTGCCTTTATAGAAGTAATGGATACAGTAGTCATGCCTGGGGTGGTCTACAGGCGGATAGAGGTATTTCAGCAGTACCCTTCTCTCACGTGACCCAAGGAGTGGCTGACCGAGAATTTTTCAAGCCTCAGATTTATTTTCCTATCTCTCCTTATTTGCATATCTGGGAGTAGTACGTCTGGGGGCGTCATCGAGAGGGGAACCAATCAGCCGTCTCACAATACAAAGGAGTCATTGAAAACTGGCATTGTGGACGTGATGGCCGACATGAACGAAAACCACCTGACCCGGACAGACAGTCGATTGCGAAACTGTATCGAGGCCGTCATCGGGTAGGAAGCACTTTTATAGATTAATATTCTCTTATTTTTGAGTCAGTGTCCATTTTTTAAACATAGTGATGTTTTTAGTTGAATATCTTTGTTCTACTTTATATTTTAATCTGTTCTTAATTACTTGAAAAGCGCTGTATACGCGATGAATACGGAAAAGTTTTTAGCTTTAACATAAAAGGGATTTATAAAAATATATGTTTATATATATATATATATATATATATATATATATATATATATATAAAGAAATATAGTCTTAAGGTGTGCTATATTTCTGGGATAAAGTGATCAGTATCAAAGACAGAGCGTGTGTAAATATAAAAGTGAACACTGAAGTTCACACTTTGAAGCGACAGGCTGTTTTATGCTAGACGCAATCGTCAGGCCACACACACACTCTCTCTATATATATATATCTATATATATATACCTCCAAATATTCACTAAAAATGGGCATACATGATGAATAAATGGACCAAACTAAATAAAAACAAAGTTTTACCGTCAAAATCTTTATCTTATTATTAAGTGGAAAGACCAAAGAATTTTTTATGAAATCATTTTTTAAAATCCTTTTTAGAACCTTCGAAATTCTGGTTAAAAATCTTGTTTTTTTTTTTTTACGTAAATGTGTGAACATAAATTTGTTCGTGAAATTTGAGCGTCCTTTTACGGAAAAAACACACACTAATTTAGAAATTCTTGGAAACTTCAGACAATTGTCGGATTGTAATGAAACTTTTAGAGCTGAGAAATGAATAAAAAATAATTTTGAAACATCTCTTTTTTTAAGAATTTTTTTTTTTGCATCAGTTACCCACTACTTATTTCATTTTATGAAATTTCCAAAAATACTTTTTGCAGGGCCTAATCTTTATATTAGTTATAAGGACAAATTTTGGGGTCAAACAGGACCTTCCAATTACATAAAATCTGCTCCGAATCTTAAAGTAAAAAACGCAATTAAACTAAGACATTATTTAATTAGAAACGCTCTTAATTGCTTATATGGGTAAAGTATATTATGGAAACAATTATCTTAAAAAATTCAACAAATAATGAATTTTTACGAGAATTGTTTTCATTTTTTCAAAATTTTAATTAGAATAATTTGTAAATCTTTAAATCTTTTAAAATTCTGTATTGATTTGTAACGATCAAATAATATTGATAGTAAATTTACTAATCATAAATGGAAAAGCATTCAGCGACTCCCAGTATTTTAAAAAGAATTTTGAATATTTTTTGTGTGTGCCTAAACGTAACGATATACGAATTTCCATACGCGACATTATCAGAAAATAAGAGCGCTAACTATAATAAATTTAATATTTATTGGTAAATTTTTTTACAATTCCTCAACAAGTGTTATTCTAAATGCCTAAAATTCAATAAAATATTTTAATGATTAAACATATTATTTTTTTTAGATTTATGTGTAGTTAAATAATGATATAAAAAGGCGTTTCTTCGACATGTTTCATTACAATTATCTCCTCTTTAAATAAATTTCCCAAACATCAGGCTGTCGATAAATGTGGCAAAACCTCATAAAATCTCCCGTGTTAAAATATGATTTTCTGCGATATGTTAAAGTAAAAGTAATATTTGTTTCGATTCAGACTAATTAAACTTTAACTCAATTTTTCCCAATTAATGTTTCAGAATGTATGTTTTATTGTTGGAAGCTGTTTTAGTAAAGAGATTTATGTTGGCTGATAGATTTGTCAATATGGACGCTGTTTTCGATGTTACTGATATTCAGAAAAAGAAATAATTTCAATCAATATAATTCTGTTTGAAATATAGCAAAATATTTTGCTTATTGGAAATATTAGATTTAATCTATTAGCTTGGAATGAAAACAAAATGAAGCTTCAAGAAAGATTTTTCATTTTTAAAATGCATTTTAATATCTTAGGAATATCTTTTTGGGAGTCACACACACACATACACACACACGCATATACATATATATATATATATATATATATAATGGGGCAATAAAAACTTCCACGTTTTACAAGCCTATTGAGTGTTAGTGAAGATAGGCATGCGTTAATGGTGCCTTTATGTAGCTCATGTTTAGCATTGCTTTAGTATCCTTTATGTAGCTTATTTTTAACATTTCTTTTCAGATACCATTAGGATTTGGACTGGTTCACACTGTAGCTTTGCTGTTGAAATATTTCGCGCAAATGAGGAATCTATAATCGCACAAAAAAAAAAGTTTTTCGTCTTCATTTCGGGCGAAATCGAAATAATGGTGTTCCAGACCGAAAATCAATATTGCTAGGAACTAAAAATTTCAGGGCCACAGTTTCCATCTGGAAAAACTCGGAGCCTTTGAACTCCAGAAAATGTCGAAGCTGTAAGACAATGTTTTTTTTTGTTTTTTTTTTTAGCAATCATCCACACGTCCAGTCCGTAAACATTCTTCTGATTTGGTATTCTCAAATCATACGGTTATTTTATACCGATGTAAAGTTCCATCCATTTATCATTTCACCCCAAGTAAGGTAATAATGCCACTAAGACACAATGGGTTACTGGGAGCGAAAGAGAATGAGAAGACTTTAACGTGGAGACAACACATTAAAGAACAGGTTTCGCGA